CCATTCCAACAGACAATTCCACAACCATGCGGGATAAGAGCCTTTTGGGCAGCCGGCGAACCTCCTCAGACCGCCCTTTCCGAACTTGTGAAAGCTACGGAAAGCATATCCCATGGAAGTGTAAAAGTCGTCGAAATAGATCCGCCACCTCTATTCGACATCGAATCACCACTAGAGCTTAAACATAGCTTACCCCGACCGAAACTTTAAGTCACTCCATGAACCATTGAACAAAACCAGAAAATAAAACACACATCAACGACGAACCAGAAGAGCCACACCGAAGACAACCTGAAGAGAGAACCAAGCAAACACCTTGCTGTAAAAGCTCTGAACTCCATGACATGGAGAGCCTCACCACCGATAGTTACCATCACCCACTGCGATGTCTCACCTCAAAACTCTGCACCAGGACAGCCCACCACCTAAAATGTCGTTGTCGATGGAAGCCAATCGAAAAGTTAAACCAGAGAAGCGCCACTTCTCTAACCCACCGCGACAGAGTAAGAACAACAAATCTCCAATCGGACCACCGCCCATAACCACTGCAAAGAGAAACAATAGCCATGTTTGGATCTTCAACCATAGACTTGGCCGAAGGATTACGCCGAAGCAACACACCTCCTCTGAAACGAGTCTCACAACACAGACGCTAGAAAATCAACTCCAGAAAAGCACACGAAGACTCCTAACAAACCAGACTCCGAGAGGCAGGTGCAAAATCAGGAGATTGCTTACAAGAGTAGCTTTAGGCGCGTTATCACAAGAAAACAAGCCAAGAAATAGAAGAGGAGAAACAACAATGTCAAAGAACTGGACAACCGTCCTCGAGCTGAGTTTAACCAGAGACAAGACCATCAACCCTCACATAACCAAGGACACGCGACCCGAGCATGAATAAACCAGGAAGCCAGCGATGAAACCAGTGAACCGGCGACGAAGACCCTCTCAGACTTGACGAAACCTCCTAACCAACCAGCGAGAGACACCATCCTCTAGCAACATACGAAGGGAGTGGTGAGAGAGGCAGCGACGAACACAAACGAGCTACAGTTCCGGCGAATTCTAACCAGAAAAGCACCGGCAACACTACCCATGATGAACAAATCGACCAAATCTACATCATACGCCTAAAGATCTCGAAGAACTAGTGGCCGAGATGAAACAAATAGACAATTCCCTTTCACGGTGGCGGTGAGAAAATCCGGCCACCGGAGAGGGAGATCGGAGCGTAACTGTGTTGACGGCGCTACGGCGAGCTCTTGTCTTGGCAGAGCAACAATTGGGCTGGGGCTTTTAAATTAATAATTCAATAAAGTTTTCATTGTATTCTATAAATTAATAACTCAACAAATTAGTTTTTTGATATAATTAATATCTTTATAAATTAATAACTCTTCCAAATTCTCAATTTACTCCCTCTAATATCTTTATAAATTAATATATTTGCAATTTTGCATGGTGTAATCTGAATAAATCGAAAATATATCGAGTAGATGACCATAACATGGTTAATGTGAAATCATGCACTCATTTATCTCAGTATGTTTGTTGTATGTTTCACTTTGACGTGTTTTATTTTTGTAGAAAAATTGAATACAGAATCACTTGAGCATAGAGGATGACGTTTGCAAATCGCAACTCCTTCTTGTCTAGATGTAGCATCGGTATTCTTAGTCGAATTTGTATTGAGCATATTTTTAACTAATATAACAATTTTCTATATGTTGGTCTAAATGTTAAGATTTATATCATTTTCTGTTTTTTATACCAATTTTAGTTATATCATATTAAATGTACGTAGATATTCCTCATTGTCGAGTTCACTATAGTCATCTAATACTCTTGGACGGAGTGATTTATTGCTTCGCCCACTTGAACAGTATTGAGCATGATGATGCTCCGGTATAGTACTAGCTTTTGATCTTCATATATAGACGTTTCAAAGCTATTCAGTGAGTCCATATATCAGATCTAGGTCATGCTATGAATTAGACATGCGTGTTCTTAACCATCGCCTATGCATCTTCAAGCCATATGTGGATAACACCAACAACGACCCTTTATTCAAAGGGCTAATTTGCTAGATAACAAAAAAAAAATTAATATCAAAAAAATAACAAAAATTGGGATACGTGACAAAAAATCAACCATGGATCTAG